TCGATTTATCTTCAGCGAACTGAAAACCGAACAACAATGCTATCTCTTTAAACACACGTTCAGCTTCAATAACATCGGCATGTTTTCCATAAAACGTGATGTCGTCAAGGTAGATCTCACAACCATGACATAATACTGAATTCGCAGGGCAACTTAGTCGGGCCAATGCAAGGATCGTCTGCATACAATGCTCCAGGCCCGAGGGCCCACAAGCCAGGCCAAATATCATTCGAGTAGTAACAAATTCCTTCGAGTTCGTAACAACCCGGATAGGAACAAGTAGTCTTACTTTATAGAAGGCCTTCTTCACATCTCGGGTATGCACGCAGAAACCTTCACGCCAGCCAATCATAATATGCTGAAGGATAGAGGATATACAACCACCACGATAAGAAGCACGGGGGGATTGCTCATTGGCCCCCCGTGCATCTGCACAGGGGCGAATACGAGTATGTCGCCCCTCTTGCTTGACGGGGAACACTACCACTGGAAGAAGATCAGAGATTGCACAGTTATAACGTCGAGGCAATGGGGATACTTCCAGATCCTGCCAATAACCAGCCCTTATATAGCCATCAATCTCATTCTTATAGTTTTCCCGTTCTTCAGGTTTCAGCTTACCAATCATAGCACCAGAATAGTCGTACTGTTGTTGGCGGATCTTCTTACCATTCTCCTTCATAGGAATCGATAACTCAAAGCAATAACGTTGTTGAGGTACGTCACGGTCTTCATCGTCATCTAACTCTCGGACCCTCATCTTATAATCAGGAGCACTATTCACCGATTGCCAGTTCTTGAGCTTATCAATAGCAGCGTCTACAGACATCTCCTCTTCAATTGACGCAATACCATCACTGGGAGACTGGCACACAGTAGAGCTCAAAGGAGTCTGGTTCGACCAGATATCTTCACCATCATCGAGTACGGCCACAAGGTCTCCGTGATAATCTTGAACAATATTATTCAATTTGGGCAACCTCGGAGGCTTAAACTGAACCATCATCTTATCGTCAAGGACAATCTCAGTGCCTAGACGCTTCATACCGTCTAGGCCAACGATGGCCTTGGGACTCAACTTCTCTAATACCAGAAATTGTAGAATAGGGTCACCCAACACCGGATTAACTGTTGAGAGATATAACTTAAGGCATCTAGTAGCCTTAAGAGTCGTACCATCTACCTGCGATGATACATGAGTAGTAGGAAGGTCGGCGATAGTGGTCGACAAACGAGAACATATATCTTCAGCCAGGATACTATCAATGTAGTTACGCTTCGCACCAGTATCCAACAAGGCCTTGAAAGGACAACTCTGAGCTACATTGGCAGGTGATGCGACCTTAAAATCTACTGTCATGGAGTCGAAAATTCGAATAGGCTCCACATAGTCAACGGTCACTGCCTTGAGAGGATCGGTCGCATTATCAGCCACAGGATTCTGCATAGGGCAATTTTTAGAAATATGCCCTTCTTGTCGACACTTGTAACATATCATTTTCCGAGTCGTAGAAGGCGAGGACGAAGTAGCATCACCAGTCGGCTTCGAGATAGGCGCTGTAGTCACAGTAGAAGTTGGACCAGTATCAGAAGTATCCTTAGGACGCGTCGGTTCACCAAATGACGTGTCCTTGATATGAGCATACTTACATCGATCGCCGAAACGGCAGGCACCTGTGCTCGCAAATGCTTTGCACTTGCCTCTACCTTTGTCATCAGTCTTTCGGTTCAAGGAGTCACTGCTCCTACCAAAAATACCAAGCCGATTCATCTTCTCTTCTCGACTAATGATCTTAGAGATGAACTGGTCGACCTTCAGATGAGTACGATCCAATGCCCATAAAGCGAGCTTTGGATTCTTCAGTCCTCGTCGGAGAATGGCCTTGACTTCATCATCTTTTGGTGCCATATCCAGTAGTTCACGTTCAGCACGCAGATCTCTTAGTCGCTCAGCGAAGTCGGCCACAGACTCATTTCGTCGCTGCTTCAGATTGACCCAATTCACGAGCAAAATTTCTCGTGTCACCTGGGAGTCGTAATTAGTCGCTCTAGTCCACACTGTCGAAATCGCACTGGAATAAGCATCATATGTTCGAGGAATATCACGCATATCATCGAACCATAGCTTCTTCCAAACAGCAGGGTCACAACTTCGTTTAGCATAATAAAAGGTAACGATAGGCGACGCGAGATGATCACATTGATCTTTAACTTCACGTCGCCATCGTGTAGCAGACCGAGGGTCCCGTTCGCCTTTGAACGGGGCAATTTCACGAAGATTCTCGGCCATATCAGACTCTTTCCGGAAGTCCTTCAAAGAGAGCGGACAACTAGTTGAATCCCTTGGCAGAGTGGTCGATGTAGTTAACACACGCTCCTCCTTAATAGCAGGGGTAACAGTTCGGCTCCCAATATTCTCATTGAAGGCCAACTCTAAAGACGCAATCAGCTCACTGCGATTCGACATAGAAGTGAGTGTGAGTCCATTACTCACATGATAAGCTGCCGAATATAGAAACTCGCACACAGCGTCCAAATACTTAGGCAGTTTAGTAGAGTCTTTAGTGTTAATGTAGCCTGACCGAAACAATTCCTCTGAGACATGGGCGTACACGGTGTTCTGAACTACACAGTCTCCGGAACCCTTCTCCTTCTCCTCTAGCTTCTTATACTGGGTGATCCACGAACTTGAGCGAAACGGCCCAAGGAGCAGAATAACCTTAGACTGGAAAAGCTGAAAGTTGGTCACGTTAGTGTCGAAAAGTCCAACCGTAGGTCCCTGCATCGGAGCCAATTGTTGGGAATCTTCACTAAACGTGAACGCAACGAACTTAGAGGACATATCAAAGAGGAATACAACTTATTTATCTTACTTATATCAAATAGAATGACCTAGCAAAACTAAGCTAAAAAAGGCTTAGTAGGATACGGTCACACAGAGATGGTCTTGCTAACACAAATGGAGACAAATAGAGAGAGAAATGGGAGAATCTAGCTACTGAACCTAACACCAATGTTTCGCGTAGTACGCGAAAGTACCGTACGCGACGCGTACTCCCAGCGACTTGTATTGTTCCGAAATTGTCAATTTCTTCGGCGACCGAGTATTACTACATTGATTACCAGACTCAATCGTCGTCGCAAGTCGGTTCATACTACAGATTCCGTAGCGTAGAAGCGGCTCGATACCCTAGTAAAGAGACACTCAAGTGTCGAAGAAGACTGCGTAGGAGGGATGAGCCTTTTTCAAGATCGGTAGTACTAATTCAGGATGTGCCTGTCGCATTGTGAGGACTTTCAACTTCGATAATCAAACTTTAATCGTTGAAGTTTAATGCTCGATGATTGAGCCATAAGATCAACCTTGTTAATATAGATCAAATACCATCATCGTATACAACTAATTCAAACTTTGAATTGTTCATATACGGTGCGGTGTCACTGGGCTCAAGGTCGAGTCTTCCCAGTGCTAACTCAAGAGCGTCGTTGTCTAGGGAGTTAACCATTAGGAAATGATAGTGATACTAACTATAATAGAGCTACTATCAACATCATAAACCGATAATCTGTTTAATAATCCCGCAACCGGGGGCACGTGCACAAGCGTTGAGCGCTTAACCTATGCGTGCCAGCGGAGCGATCGATGTCATGTTTGCCGAAAAAGAGATTGCCTGCAATGAAGGGGCCCTTCCGATGGCTTGGTGCAGTAAACCCAAACCGCAGATGTCCCCCAAGGGGCCCTGCATTGAAGGAAAAAGTGGCACAGGGAAAAAGTTCAAGAAAGATAACCCGCTGCTACAAGAGCTGTTCCTGATGCATCACGGAGTTTTCCCGTAGGGGTCAGCATAACTCTCATGAGCACTGAGCTTGTCGTCCTGAGCAGGGGATAGTCATTGTCATCCACCGGAGAGGGAGCCGCATAGGAGTCGCCGTCCAGATTCGTCCATACTGGCATGAACGTCTTGCCGTCGTTGGTGTCGTACACCTGTATGCGCATTTCATGGGTACCCGCGTTCTGCTTAACCCTTCCGATGACGTCCTCCTCGTTGCCAAGACGGACGAGCAACAAATCGTCCGGCTTAGTCGAGGTTACTGGGATGGTGGTCTCAATAGCCAAAGTGGGGCGATT